AGGCAGCTGGGAAGGGTGCTCCATGGTGGGGGGAAGGGGACAAGGCAGCTGAGAGGAGGCTATCTCTCTCTGATGAAAGATCAGGGATTAGAAATTCAGGAGAGGAATGAATGCTGTAGCAACAACATTTACTCATCTGCAGCAATTCACTGTTTGCAAAAAGGTCACTTTCCCTCTTCAATCTTTAATGGCTAAGCATGCAGAGGAAAGCTGCCTCGTCGTGTTCAACACGTCCACTTGAGGGAAAAAGAAGAAAAACTGAGTTGCTAAGTCAAGCTTTTTGAACAGTTTTGGGCTAGATCTTGTTTTTGGAGATATATATATGTGTGTGTGTGTGTGTGTGTGTGTATATATATATGTATATATGTATATGTATTATATGTAATATCTTTATATTAAATATAAAACATATATGTTTATATTGTATATGGATATAGATATAGATAGATATTTTTACCATTGAGCAAGAAGATCTCCATGCTTTCAGGAAGACTGTCAGACTATGGACATATTTACAACTGAACTTATGAAGGAGAAATTTTATGTTAATATGATGTTTGCCTCCAGGGTCACAGAAAAATTTCAAAGCACACTTCAGAAGAAATTTCAATTTTGGTTTTCTTTAAAAAAAATCTGCATTCCAGCCTTACAGTCTACAAACCAACACCATCTTAAGGGGAAATGAAGGAACAATGCTGGTGGCTTTTTCCATTTTATAAGGAGTTATTAGCTGGGGACAAACATGAGGAAATGAAAAATCATTTTCAAATGGGACATCAGAAGATTAATGGTGCCGATTCATAAACTCAGTAGCTCCAGAGGTACCGCGCTCTTTCAGCAAATTAAAAACAAAACAAAAACAGAAGGTTCCCAACGAATTACTCCGAGGTTTTTACAGATTCTAGACACACTGAATCATCCAAGTGTGAAGGAGAAGCCTACTTGGAAGACTTTTACATAAAACTATGGGCCCTGGCTGGTTTGACTCAGTGGTTAGAGCATCAGCCTGGGGACCAAGGGATTACAAGTTCAATTCCCAGTCAATGGCACACAGGATTGGGGTGAATGCTCGGAGGCAACTGATCAATGTGTCTCTCTCACATAGATGTTTCTCTCTCTTTCCCCTCCTCCCTCCCTTCCACACTCTCTAAAAATCAACGGAAAAAATATCCTCTGGTGAGGATTAACCAAAAAGGGGGGGGGGCATTTTTCTTATAATTATGATAGTTGAATTGAAACATCTAATACATTTTACATATATTAAGATTAATGGTGCCGATTCATAAACTCGTGCTGATTTTATGAATGGTGCTGACTCTAAACATTTTACATCTTCTAATACAATTAAAACATCTAATCATTTTACCTTAAATGATCTGGTTTTGTGGACATCAATTAATAAGATACATTTTTCTGAGAGGAGCTGAAAGGGATCTCGCTCGGGACATTGGGCTACTGGTTATTGCAGGGAAGATGAATTCCCCCAATTGGCACCCTTGTTCAGAAGGCTACGCTGAAGCACATCTCACTCAAAGCGAGTGTCTAGCTTACCTTGGATCATCATAATACGATCAAGTCTACTAATGATGGATGTTCACTGACTATTCCAACAGCTGCAATTTTTGTGTAAACTGCTGATAACTTATCAACTATATTAGACCTGGAACTATTCTCTCCTGGATCATGAACCCAGTCCTACTGCACCCTATAAAACACTGACATGTAAATAAATATCCCCTGTGGGGAATTCGAAGCTCTAGCTGTTCTTTCGGCATGTATGCTGGAGAAAAGTTATTTTTCCTCACTGCGTGGTTTTCATCATGATAAGGGAAAAATGAGGGGGGGGCCCGCTGTCAGTAAGGAGTGCACTCCAGAGCGCTTTTCTAGTAGAGGTAGTAGATTTGATGTGTCCATCCATTCCCTCTGGTTTGTGTCCTGGGGACTAAGAAGGCACATGGCTAAGATATCTGAGTGAGGGGTCAGGAGTGGCTATGGGCTAGAGCAGCTCAGTGCAATCACCTGGACCTCGGCCTCGTTAGCAATGGGGTTAAACCAATGGAGCTAACTGTGTACAGACATTTCACACTACAGTAACGTACAGATGATGTCCATAAAAATCCTTCTGAGGGCAATGAGCAGAAGCAAGGCTTTCCAGAGTGTGCTATGCCACCACTCAGGGAACAGCACAAGATCCGCTCTGCTTGTCAGAATTCAAGCAGAAGAGCCCTGTGCTTTCAGAGAGGAGCTCCTGTTTTGTTTTTATTTTTAATGTAATTTTGATATTTTTAGAAGTCTTAAGGATCTACCTCCCAAAGTAAATTCACAACTGGAGAATATTATGATTAATAAAACTCTAGTGCATCCTCAGTATAGTGATCTTTAATTTCACTTCTTTTCTCATTTTGGGGGGAAATAAGCAGACCATGCATATTTCTGAGTTAAAGTTTCTAGAAAGTAGCTATGTTTCAGGTGTCTGTGTGTTCCAGAGCGACCAGCGTGTTCTCAGCACCAGGAAGGTGAAGCACAGGGATGGATCATTGATATATTGATTCCTCTACGTATTGGGCGAGGGAGGAAGATGTGAAGATGTCTCTGGAATTCTTTTCAACCCCTCTCAGCACTTGTCTTAGCAAAATACACCCCTTAGGGTACTTTCCTCTGCACGTTTTTGATTTACAGAAAAATGAAGGTATTAGTAAGGATAGTCAGAATATGCTGACTAGTTTCTTATAAAAAAAAAAGATCACAAAGTAGCTATTTTTGTTTTTTACCATTTTGAACTTCAGAGAAAAATAAAACATCTCACTAAATAGATTTAAGAAGGNAAAAGATCACAAAGTAGCTGTTTTTGTTTTTTACCATTTTGAACTTCAGAGAAAAATAAAACATCTCACTAAATAGATTTAAGAAGGTGAAAATATTACAAACTTGCTTTTTGAGCAGTTTCTGAAAAATCAGTGCTCTGGACTTCTGAAGAGCCTTCTGGGTTGAGGGCAGGGGCTGAGAGCAGGATCGCCATCTCAGTCATCCTACTTTAGAAAATGGTAACCCACGTGCCAAGAAACAGTCTGGCTAACAAGCTGATCAACGTTAATTCACACACTGAGTGCGTTATCACAGCTTACTTTGGGGACCTGTATTTGGAGCGATTACGGGCATTTGACGGACCCAGGGGAAGCCGCCTCTGCGAGCTGCTGCAGCCTGCTGGCCTGTCCCTGGGAAGCACCCTGGCTGCTCCCTCCGTCCACCCCTGGAGTGGAGCTTTCATCTGGTTATCTTTCAAGGCAGCCTGGGTGGCCACCAAAAGCACTTGACATCTTGATGCACTTCAGCAGTTTTACATATATACAAACTTTGTAGAAAAATAAATTTGTCATTCGTCACCACATCTGTTGATCTGGGGAGTGAGGTGCTTGCTGTTCTGGCTCCTGAGCTGTTTGCTGTGCTCTCTCTTACAGTGGGTATCGCTTTTTGTTGTTTGTTTTGGAAGCTAAAATAACTTCAGATACAGGAAGACCCCCACAGATGAGTTCCCAAGCCCAGCCTGGTTGTCTTGATCTCAAGTAGACAGAGGTAGATGAAAGTGCCAAGTGTTCATATCACTTTCAGCTGACAGTGTGGTAAAGGAGAACCTTCGAGACCTGAAATTTGCAGCAAGCCTTTATGAGACCTAATCTGTTATCACTTCTCGACAGACCATCTAGGCAACCGTGACCTATTCTACTTTGCTTTGGGGAATGTGATAAAGAGGAAGAAACAGCTGGCTTAAGAAAAGCCTTCGAAACATGGCTGTAGTTTATAAAGACAATAATAATATTTTCACGTTGAATGGGTTTAGATCCATGTTACGCTACCCCAAAGGAAGCAAGTAACCCTAGTCAAAATGTTTTCTTAGGTTATTGAGAGCTCTATAAAAAAAAATGCAAAAAAAAGAAAGAAATCCGTACTTCTGTAGGTCAGAGAAAAAAGTGAGATGTGCATAGCAGTTAAAAAAAATTCTCTAAGTGCATCCCAGAGTTCTTAAAGCTTGTCTCTTCCTTCAATGCCATCAAGTTTTATAAACTGTTAGCTTCAGTAGACTTGTTTGTGTGTGACTTTGCAAACAGAATCTGTCTTGTTCAATTCTTTTCTACCTCTATGTTGATTCTTCCAACTAAACCAACAACTAAAGTTTACAAACTTTTGATGGTAAAATTAATTAATCCCCCAGAATCTATATGTTTATCAGGGTTCAAAACATGACAGTGATCGGGTATATCTGGAAGACTGTGAGCATAAGAACTTCTCTGTGCACCTATCACTGTCTCACTGCACAACTTCAGGGGAGGCATTTAAGGTCTCCTGAGGCTCAGGAGTCAAGTGGAGATGACTCTACCTTTCCTACCTATCTTCTAGAGGTTTGAGGAGCAAATTAGTTATTATATGTTAAAGTGCTTTGTAAGGCATTACTTTTTTGGGGATTTTGAGTTGTATTTTATTTAAGAGAATACCTTAAAAGTCAGTGGACAATCTGCATTTATGTGTCAGCTGTGTAGAAGAGGAGGCTGTCTTGATATTGACGTGGATGCGTAAAGAAGAGATCAACAAGAAATGTGTCCTGATAACCCAACGTGTGTCAAGATCACCAACTGTATTATCGGTTTAACAACAACAAAAAAGTAGACCATTTCAATAAAACCAACATACTCTTTGTGGACTGAAATGACAGTAATCCTTTTTAGCAGCAATAAAAGGTTACAAATTTGAAAAGGTTAAGTATGAGTAAAGAATAGATATTTTGAAAGAGGAGATACATTTTGCACTCTTGTATGCAAGCATTTAAGAACAGGTATCTTGGAAGGATATTCTGCAGCTGATTTAATGAATGCATTTTTACCTGGAATATGGCCTCGGCAAGTATAAAAGAACTCTTTGCAATAGTCTTTGCAGAGCAGGGGGAGTACCAGGTCTCTGTCCAAGGCTTCCCTCTCAGGTGAGTGGAACAGGCTCTGAGAATATGGAGAGCAAAGCGCACATTTGATTTCCTCCAGTAGCTTCCCACATTCGGTGGTGTTGTTGGTCACAGAAAATATCTGAAAGCCGTAAATCAGAAATAAGCTCCTTTTTAGTTAGGTGAAGTTTGGTTTAGTTACTTTTTTTTGTAATCACGTAAGTAGAAAAGTGTAATTTAGCCAACGCAGTTGTCTGAAAAGAATTGCCATGGGACAATAGAGAATGCCTTTATAAGGACACAACTATTCTCTTGTATGAGATGGGAGAGCCAAGGGTAGGGATGGACAGAAGTCTTCTTACTCTTGCAAATCAAAGTGGTTTATTTGTCTTTCAGGTGTAAGAAAAATTAAATGACAATTATACTTAGATCCTTTAACCCTTTATCACTTTACTCTGTCTCAGTGTACAGTGACTGATATTTAACCTTAAAATTCCAAATACCTTTATCCAACTATAGGGCATCCCCCAAAAATGTATACACTTTGAATGATTATAAAGTCAGTGTTTATTAACATACAGTTCATTTTCAAAATTTAAAAGAACCTACAGAAATGAGTGTGTATACATTTTTGGGGGGACACACTGTATATGTTAAGCATTTTTTTTTTTTTTTTTAATCATGGTTGATTTGTGTCTTAGGTAAAAATCTAGTTCACTCCTGAAATTTCTAATATGATATCCTCAAAGATGTTAACTTGAATTACATTTTTCTAATTTCAATTAATTTTCAATTTACAGATTACATAGGCAAAGTTTTCTAAAGTGGGGAAAAATCTCTCCCTTTCATGTTCTATAAAAATAATACCTGAAGCTGAACCAAACAGGTTTAAGACCAATTTTTATTATTCATTATATCTTAGCCAGGAAAAACTTTCTAACTAGCTCCTCAGGTATGTTATGTGCATGAATAAACACGAGAGTCTAATAAAAGTGCTTTTGTATAGTATTTAGTAAGTCTTAATGGGAAAAGGCATGCTTTTACCTTTATTTATACAGTATTATGTCTTTTATTTCAATAAGATCAATTTGGGTGTCATTGATTCACTGAGGTTAGGTCTCAGAGCCTAGTGCTAACTTTAAAAAGTGATTTCAGGAGTCCCTCTAATAAATATAGAGGAACAGTATCAGCACAATATTGAGACATGAAATGTAGTGCTGTCTAAATCAATAACTGATTTTTCATATTAAAAAAACCTTAATGAGATTGAATTTTATACCTTTTCCCAGTTTATGTAACTATACCTATACTTAATCATTTTTTTAGAACTGTGAACTGAAATTAATATTTTAATCTCTAGATCATTGTTTAAAGCAAATATTTCATTCACAAATTGAGGTTCTAATTTGAGTACATTGTATGTCTTCTATTTTTTAAAAATAAAGATATTCTAGGTGATCATAAAATTTGGATCTGCAAGAGCAAAGCAACTAAAAAAATAGTTGAATACAAGCATGCTGAAATTTCAGCATGTGGTAATTAAAAATTCCATAGAAGTCACCCAGTTTCAGGAAAAAAAATATACAATGTGTTGTAACTATCTACAATATTCATAAGTCATTTTTAATCACAATTATATTTACATTTTAATTTTTATCAATTTATTTTAAATGACAATTGCTTAAATGGTTAAAGTTTTCTAACAGGAAACATACACCAGACACTTAGAATTTGCATTCCAAGAATGTTTTAAATTTCTTTTATTGTCCATACCCTGGCAGACCTCACCACATCTATTCAGTATTAATACTGTTCGACTTGGTTCTGTTTGTTTATCATAGAGCAGTCCTCTAAGAACGAAACAACTGCAGGATGCTGAAACCACCTCTTTTGCTGGCTGAAAAACTGCAATGTAATTACCTTTGGTTTTATGGAGAATATGCACGCTTCCATTTTTTTATAGCTGAAACAAAATGATCCCCATATACTCTCCCAGCTGCTATCCAGGAAGAGCTTGATTTTAGTGCCTAAAGAATTTTGTCTTTTACAATTTTTGGAATGTGTCCTGGCCACAAGATCTCTCATCAAAAGTTTCAGAAATAGGATTCAATAAATTATCTGAAATCAAGTATAATATTATTCTTTGTAAAATTTCATGCTGTTCCGGCCCAGCAGGATGGTAACATTTTGCTCTGTGTGAGGTCTGCAGTGTAAATACCCATTTGAAGATAGATAGAGCCATCATTCTGGCTTTGGTTTCAATGAACCAATAGTCTTACCGAAGTCAATTAAACTGACTCAGCCCAAGCTGCAACACTGTTTTAGACAGATGTGTACTGCTGTGTGTGTAGGGAATTTTTTTTTTTTCCCTTTTCAGCCTATGTGTCTGTGTCTATACAGGTCCTTAACTTTATGCCTGACAATGTCATCAATCTTAAGAAGAAATTTAAGCTAATTTCCTGTTTCGATTTTTAAAAGCCATATACGAAACCATCAAATTATAGTGGTTTAAACTAAATATACTTTGGAAATCATGTAAAACTTCGAAACATTATTACAGCATGACTAGTAATGATTGTGGCTGTTGCTGACTAATTTATAACATCTGGCAGGTCATCCTTTAATCTTTAGCCACATGAAAGTAAAATCCATAGAAGAAAGGTAAGATAAACCCTGGGATCCACAGTGAAGCGTGGCCTACAACTACAGCTTGTCAACAAATAGTAAAATGGGTGACAGAGACCTTCTGTATTTCTCTTTATTTATCAAGTAACTAAACAAAGAGTATAAAAAAGGCCCCACATGGGTTTGATGAGCGGACAAAAGGAGAAAATACATGACAGTATATTAAGATGTCACCTTAAGATCACTTGGTGCATAAAAAGTTATTTCTAAAAATCATATGCCTACAATGTTCTTCAGCTGTTGGGTAGAACACATGGATCTCTGGACTATAGTGCTGGATTATGTCATTAAAGAGTTCAGTTTCAATTTTAGGCTAATATGTAAATAGATCATTGTACTAAGGCAGCTGTTAAAGGGACCCCAGGATGAGTTATTTGTTTAGTTGGATGTGTTCAACAATAGCCTTTGTCCCTGAAAGAGCCAGAGCAAACAAATGATTGTAAAAGGGCACACTTGAAAACAATTACTTTTCACCCATTCCTTGACAGCTTTGGCTGTGAAACCACCCAAGGTAGAGAGATCTTCTATGCTTCTGTGGCTACAAGTTAAGTTTTAGAAATGGAGGGTATTTCAGTTGGTAGCCGATTCAGTTTGGCTAATGGGAATTAGATCCTTTTAGCATGTTGTATTTAGGAGCTGCAAAAATATTGTTAAGACAATATATTTTCCTAAATGTTGGCAATAGTTATTTATAATGGTAGTTAGCCATCTCATTACAATACACAAAACTATTAAAATGTACAAAAAATTAAAATGTTAAAAAAAACCCATAATACCATGGCTAAAGAATTGAACTCAATGCTAGTTCATTACATGAAAGAAAATGTGTGAGTCTGGAAACTGGATTTAATGGCACAGCTGAGCATGCTCAATACTCCTCCTACCTAGTTTGCTACTATCCGTTCTATGAAATTTCTTCCCATAGGAAAAGGCAACTCTTATAGTTTCTTGAAAAGTTGCAGAAATCTTTCTGGGGGAAATCTTTTTTCCCCATAAACAAAAAAGAGCCCTTTCAAGTAGCCATCATCTTTCCTGTACACATATTATGAAATAAGACCCTAATGTATACTATAAGCCAAGAAAGCTTAGGGAAAGGAGGAAATAGTGAGGTTTATTATAAAATAATATGTTTTAAAAGTATTAAAACTTGAGAGCCAACACAGGTCAAGAATGCATAGGCATAGCTATAGCAGATCTCTGATTTGAACAACTTGAGTACTGTTGGTTTATAAACCATTTGTGATGAAACCAGCAAAGTCCAGTGTACCAAACTTAATTCAGACACATTTCCCAAATGAGTAGGGGTTTGTTGGAGATTGGAAGCACGTAAAACGGAAAGGAATGTGGATAGCTAACGTGGCAGATTCCTTAAGAATGATTCCTTTTTAAAAAAACTGAACAACTTTATATAAATTCTCTTAAGGATTATAACTCTCCCCTCCCCCAACCCCAATCTCTACTAAGTTTAGTTAAGAGCAAAGTTTTCATCCCTCATGTTCCTGTGCACTATGGCAGGGGTGTGCAGATCATGGGTGTACTTGCAGTATACACTGCACATAGGGGAACTTCATGGCAAATATTTCCTAAACCTTCCTCTAAATGTCCTGGTTCTTCTGAGATCCTGGTCAAACTCTGCAGATGATGTGAATGTAGCTCTTCTGTAATGTAATTCAATTACAACACAGGAGCTTCATGACATTGTTTTGAATAAAATGCTGGGATATCTGTTCCCTGAATCTCAGACTACTGCTGCATATGGTAAGAATAAAGAGCGAGTTGTAGCTGAAAACCTGTAGCAAGACAGTTCTCGCTCATCTGGGAATCGAGGGAGTTGGACAAATGCTCCCTCCAAAGGCATGAACATTTGGACAGAGCCGGGGACTGAAAGAGAATGATGTTCTCTAGTTTCACCCATTAGCGAACCAACCAACAAACACAATGGTGTTGTTGTTACTCTTTTGCCATAAGCAACAGGACTCCGTGTGTGGGCAGCCGTTTAGTGGGGAGGAGGAGAAGTCGACCCCTTTTTGTCCTATTGATTTTTTCCTATTTGCATGACTTGAGCAAATTAAATGATGCAATATGGCTTTTTTGTTACAAAACAAAGTGAGAGATACCACCCAGACACATATGTTGATTCGTAGGAGCTGTTTACATGAGAATAGAGTGAAATCTACCGTGAACTGAGCATAAAAATTAGATTCAGCCTGGGTATTTTTTTTTTTTTTTTTTTTTTTTATTATGCCTGGGCCAGCAAGACTGCAGCACAAGTTTTCCAAGAGCCTCTCAGACCTTGACAACTGCAGTGTTGTAACAGAGGAATTCTTAATTAAACCTAAAATGGGGGGAAGGGGCGGGGGAGCAAAGACACCTGATTGTTTATTTCACGTGCAGCGATTGTTAATGACGTGGTCCCCCAGCCTGTCTTTGGAGTACAGTGGACGGCACACCCTGCTGCATCCCACGGCACGAAAGACCTTGCAAACCCCAACATAAGCCTGCCTTTCCAATCAACCAACACGGTTTCCCTATCTGTTTAAACGCAGTAACACGAGGAAAATATAAATGCCCTTGCTCCTGAAACAAGTTTCCAGAGATCTTCCTAGGCAACTGAACACCACGGAAAGCCTCAACTGATAATATTACAAAACATGACAAACTGAGACGGAGAACTGTCTCCGTTTTATGCGAGAAAGACGCCCCTGCAAAACCTTTCGCCAGCCCTTCGGGTTCTCAAATGGAGTACCAGGAGTTCCCTCTTGGCTGTTTAACGACTGTAACGTTAGACAACCCCCTCTGACGGGGCTGGGGCTCGTAAACCAACCATGCTTCAACATCCTTTACGATTCAACCCTCTCCCTCCCCGAGCACGTGGAGAACGCTGCACAAATCTTTTACTCTAGAAAAACAAACCGGAAACCACAGCCACGTTAATTTACAGTTTCACCGCAGCCAATGCCTATTCGACCCCGAACACGCGGTTAATCGCGATTCTTTGAAAATCATGTCCCGAGCCCGAACGAGAGTACCACCGAAGCTGCTCTTCTCCGAGACAGTTTTCGCACAGCATCCCGACCGACCGCGGACTCCGGGGAGGGGGGGG